CCCCCCCCCCCCCCCCCCCCCACACATGGATAGTGCAGATAGGTCGAGCCTTCTTATCCCTACAAAACCCCCCCAAGAGCTGTCTTTATTTCCAGATCTAACAGAAACATAGGTCAGCTCTATCGAAGTCGTCTTCACGGACCTAAACCCGTTACCTCTTAAGCACTTTGAAGCAGGACCTATGTCACTCAGGAACAGACAGAGCACTCCCCTCAGAGTGCCGTTTCCTCTCCAACTCCATCATAGATACCTGCATGCACTGCAGCCATGGCAGCTCCTCGCACATGCTCGCGTGATTTGTGGAACTCCGCATACATACTCGCATCTGGCGCGTCTGTGTTTTCCAACGGCTCCGTCATAACTGACTGTTCGCCAAAAAAATTGTGGTGGTACAAGAACTCAGGCCCACATCTAGTCTCGTCTTGCCAAGAAGAGCGAATAAGAAAAAATTCCAGAAAGATTTTTCCCACTAGCAGCGAAGACGGTTAGGCCACGCGTTTTTCTGTTGCTGCGAAGCGCCCTCCTGGTCTATTGACTGCAGGGATCTGTCCCGAAATGACACACCCCGGGTATTCATCACTCCGACTCCGCTCCGATTTCTCATCCGTTTTCTCCGTGCCGAGTTTATCAACTCTGGTATTTGTGCTTTTTTCTTCGTATTTATATAAGCTTATGCTGACAGATATTTGATTTGCATTGTCACCGCCTCTGCCCCGCACCTCAAATTGCATACCCCGCTCACATGTAATTCTGATCGAGAGCTCTTCAGGTGAGAATGGGTGCACCTATAGAAATTCTTCCAGTCGCGCATGACGCTGTGATAGTATGTACTCAACGCCGGAAGAGGGAAGGTATATGTACATATCCTATAGGAAAATCATGATCACGACCATCTATTACTGCAGTTTTCGTCCCTGTCAGGTAATAGAACCTATGTACTGGTACTTTACACACAGCGATTTGACTGTATGCACCTGGGAAACAAGGGTTTGGACATGCAAGTACCTACTGATGATAAATTCGACCAAAGAAGTTACGGATGTACCACAGTGCGAGTACAAGAAACAAATAATAACATCTTTCGCATTTGATATATGTGGATATCAAGCCTTCCCCTCGTTCTCGCTCGTTTGACGTGGTCACCACAGTCAGACGATCTATTAAACCATATATGTAGGTAATTATCCGGTACAACACTGCATTCCACCTTACGTTCAACGACTGGTGTAGGGTTGAGTCCATGATTTCCCTTAGATTATCAGCAAATGTCGATTCTTGATAGGTGCTTGATTATAAAATACTGCGGGTGATATCGTATGATCCACCGTGGGCTAACTATTTACCGCTAACCTACATCCGGCAACATTGGATAAGTCCATGTAGATCCCCGCATTCGGCGGTTACAATTCTACCCCCAAGGAGACGGGAGATCAATTTTCTGGTACCGAGAAGTTGGATCAAACGAGTAGGTACTACCCGCTATCTGATGATGTTGAAGCATTGGGGATTCTCCGCAATATGCCCTAACCGACCAACGCTGGTTTCATCTCATCTTTGTCGTACTGCTAGTACAGTTTTAGAGGTTTTTATATAAGACTTTACCAATATCCAGCACGTGTAACCGGCAGAGGACAATCAAGCAGTTTCGACTTGGCCTTGCAGAGTCCTGCATCTATGTTTTGTATGGTGTTGGTAAGTTATTGATTGGTGCTCGGCGTGCGTAACAACAGTTAAAACTGTGTTAGTACGGTAATGTAGGTACACCACACTAAAAATGGAGTAGTGCATGTAATACAGCAGAAGAACTTTTCCTCTTTCGGAGCAAATATTAACACCAAAGTCCTCAAAGCCCATTAATCATACAGACGTCAACAACTGACCGGAGAATTTGGAAATTTCCCCACGGGGTATCACAATCCTTGTATGTGATCACATCTTGGTGTTTCACTGCTACATTGAAAAAATGTTTTGCTATTCTTCAGATCAAGCATACATGTACTTATCGGAAAGTAAATATTAAACACTACTCATTTATATTATATAAATTCGTGTTCTTATACACGACTGCGGGAGTTAGCTGTTACCCGATAACATGTCGTGAATTTAAGCTTTATGCACCGATATCGGGAGGCGCCACCAGATGTGAAGTAGTTGATACGTAGCCGACTGTAGCAAGATATAGGTAGCACACCGCCCCTGAACAGATCATCGAGATAGGCACCGAGAAGGTCTCCTGTTTACGAGAGGAAATATTAGATAAAGACTACGATGGATCTTGCTGGGCTACCGGACTTCTCTGTCTAACTAGGCAGGAAGATACGCACACTTTCTCGGCGCGGGTATGATATTCGGTCAGCAGTCCGAGGAAGCCCTGCAAGTGATAAGAATTTTCCTTTTTGGAGACATTTTTACGTAGTCCTTTTACTGTTACAGCTGAAGAATTATAACCGAACTACCGAAGCTCAAAGTATATGTATTCTTCCCATTTAAATTGAGCTTTCTGGCCTTTACCCATAATCTCATTTACGACTCCACTTTCAACCACAACCACAATCTCACGATGTCTTCAAATAACAAGAATGAAGAGGTCGCAAGAGATGAAGCAGTCGGTTATGTCATTGATCCGGTTAGAGCCCAGGAAAAGGCAGCAGATGATGGCGACGCCGCGGCACCACAGTTACAACGAGCACTGGATGCTCGTCACTTGCAAATGTTAGCAATCGCTTCCAGCATTGGTACAGGATTGTTTATTGGATCTGGACAAGCCTTGAGAACCGGCGGGCCTTTGGCTCTGGTCGTTTCATTCTCATGGCTCGGTGCAGTGTTGACAACTATGATGCGTATGTCACCTTGGAATACCTCGAGCCTGATAGCTCTTTCAAGTAGCTAATAGATACAGAATGTCTCTGCGAGATGGCAACATTGTATCCAACGTCTGGAAGTTTTGTTACATATGCTTCCAGATATATTGATCCTGCTTGGGGATTCACGATAGGAATAATGTAAGTAACTTTAGCTTTGTCTCGAATTTCCCCTCAGCTTGCTGCACTCTTTCTCCGAGACTTGTCTCAAAATCAGCTCTATAACGAACATTGAAGAATCTCCGTCCCTTCAGGCTTGGAACGAGCCAATCATGTGGACTCCTCGGCATTGAGTATCCAACGCTAACAGTCGATTTAGGTATTGGGCATGCTGGATCGGCGCTTTCGGTACAGAAGCAACCGCGGCTAGAATCCTCGTTGGTTACTGGCTTCCGCCAGATTGGAGTTCTAGCCCCGGAAATGCAGCCATCTTGATTACTGTATTTAACATTATTATGGTGTGCATTCACATATGTCCTGTGAGGGTATTTGGTGAAATAGAGGTATGAATGAGGCATATTAACTGATTGAAATTATGTAATAACTTATGAACTTTACTAGTTTTGGGTATCTTCTTTGAAGGTTATTTCTATCGTAATGTTCCTAATTGTCATATGGGTTATCATGGGAGGCGGAGGCCCAGAAGGGCAGAGACATGACGGAGAATACTGGGTAGATCCCGGTGCTCTTCTCAATGGCTTCAAAGGTATGTGCTCATTCCGTCGAAATAGTACTGAAGCATTCTGACACTTTGTAGGTTTATCGAGTGTTTTTGTCACAGCAGCATTCTCATGTGGCGGTACTGAAGTCGCTGGTATTGCTGGGGGCGAGACACGGCAGCCTCGTATTGCGATGCCTCGGGCTGTTCGCACCTTGATGTTTCGTATCGTCTTTTTTTACGTGGTAACCATCTTGTTTCTCACCTTTGTGGTGTCCGCAAGTGATCCAAGACTCTTGGGTGGAAGTGGAGGAAGTTCGGTGGACTCTTCGCCATTTGTGATTGCCATCAGTAATGCAGGTATCAAGGTCCTGCCTGATATTCTCAATGTAATAGTCCTCTTGTGTGTCTGTAGCGTTGGGAGTGTCAGTATTTATACTGCCTCTCGCGTATTATGCAACATGTCACAAATTGGGTTATTGGGTAAATATTGGGGATTCGAGAAGGTTGATAGACATGGGAGACCGTAAGTAATCCTCCTGAAAGCGGGAACCGATATATACTGATATTTCTTAAAAAAAAAAAAAGTATGCGGGCTATCTTGGTGACAGCGGTCATCGCTGTTGGACTCTCGTATTTGAACTGCACATCTTCTGCTACAAACGCCTTTGAATGGTATACCAGCATCTTCTTTATAAGAATCTTTAACTAACTAGATAGGTTCACCTCCCTGTCTGGTATTGCTTTCCTCACCTGTTGGCCAACTATAATTTTCGCAAACTGGCGCTGGCGTGCGGGTATCAAGGCACAGAACATCAACATCTTTGGGCGAAAATATGTTTATGAGGCTTTGTGGCGCCCAGTATATCCACTTTTTGGATTCGTAAGTGTTTTTGCCTCGTTCAAGTGATTACTCCGGAGTACCTTTGACTTACCAAACCGTTTACAGATTTCCCTGATTTTCATGCTGGGTTGTCATATTTATGTTTCTGCCTCACCAATCACAGCCACGCCATCTGCCGAGAATTTCTTCAGGAGTTGCATCGGTATTCCATTGATTATTGTTTTGTACTTTGGCTACAAAACTACCTATGGTACACGTATCGTGCGATCTGTAAGTATATCACTTCTTGGTTTACGTAGTTATTTCTCCTTTATTAATGAGCAAATGATAGCATGTAATGAATCTGTGGGAAGACAAGATTTCGGAGGATGACTTTATAGATCAGGAGCATAGGTTGGATGAGTATTATAGGCAGACTAGATGGAAGCGTTTCCTCTCGTATGTGCGCTTATAGCTATGTCAAGTATGGGCCGCGTGTACTTTAAGTGCGTATGCACACATGTTTGTCCTGGAGACAATGATAATGATACTGCATGTATTGAATGATTGCTATAAAAAAAAGAATGCGAGCATTAAAATACCGAACCTTCTGGTTCAGGTTTAATTACACCTTTGTCCCATTCCCCAAGATACCATCCTAGCTCCCAAAACAATCCTCCTGCATCTTTGGTGTTCTCAGCAAAGTCCCATAATCCACCCTCATCGTCCCCACCGGCGCCCTTGCCCGTCTCCGCCGTCCCACATCGCGACTCATAACCTTCGCCTTCAACGAGGCCACCGCCGCTGCAAGCTCCTTCTCGGTGGTCGTGCTGCAATTAATGAACCTCGGATCCCGCAGATCGAAGCCCGCCGAATCCTCAGACACCAAGTAGGTAGAACGCTGGAACAAGAGCGCCTTAACACCCCGCCGCACCATCACCACCACAAGGCCTGAGTACCCCACGGCCAGGCGAACGCCGAGGATTGCGGAGGAGACAAGGGTCGTGAGGAGCGAGGCGAGCATCATGGGTAGTAGGAGGAAGAAGGAGAAAATCGTTACTAGTATCATGTTTGCAGGGTAGTTTTTCCGAGTAGCTGGGGGAGAGCTTCTTGTTACTCACAATCGCGGTGGGGGTTATGTTATGAGTGCCGAAGGGGGTATTTATCTATCAGTTACTGGGGACGGGAGGGGAGGAACCAGGCTGTAATATATTATTGATAACGAAACCTGGAATTCTGGGGTTTTTCTGGATCTTCCTGGGATCCGGGTTGAGAGTGATCAGAGTGAGTGAGCCAGGGTGTCGGGGATTTTATATTTTAGGGAACCATCCCTCACCCCCCTAGTTAGAGGGAACGATCCTGGTTTGTTGGCGCCGCCCGAGGTGAGACATTTTTTACCCCGGTCCGGTTGGGTTGGGCTGGGGAGAGTAACTACGGTGCAGGTCAGTAGGGTGCTTGTATGTGGCGGGGCAGGGCTACTATTTCGTGGGCTAGGGCTTTTGCATCGGGTGTCACTCGGGTGGGGGTGCGTGGGGGGGGGAAGCAGGGGTTGCTTGAAGGTACCGTACGATAGATAGATAGATGGATAGGCACTACAGCCCTGGCGGGCAGGTATCGCGACGATGTGCGGTGTTAGGTGCGGTGTTTATATTGCGGTGCTTTCCTCTCATGATTCTGCTTTCCTCTGGTGGATTCTCTCCCTCAATCACTTAGGTCGGGATACGGGTACTTTCCCACGCGCCCAGCATGACGCCCCCTCCGCATAGTATACCGGTGGTATTCACGCCTCTCATCCTGAGTGTGGTAGATTCTCATGAGACGGCTTGAGCATCACGATAAGTGTACTGTTGTATAGGACTCTAAGGCAGGGTGGTGCACGTGAGTGAAAGATTCGGCGCGGAGAGATTGTGCCATTTGCTGTATTTATACACGGGCCCGGCCCGTGTGTACATGTCTCCATCTAGATCTCCGTGCCAGATCATGTGGCTATGAATGGCGTATCGTCCTTGTCAGCCACTCTTACAGAGACAGCCGGCAAGTACATGCAGTTACTTCTCTACCATAGTATTAAACCCATGCATGCCCGTGCTAGTGCCTCTGAGACGTAGCTAGAATGCGCGCTGGAAATGAATGGTAAAAACGTCTTCCTTGCTAGACACCATCACGAGATCCATGAGCAAAGACCTCCCTCCCCCCCCCCCTCTACTCTCTTTTCTACAATCCCCACAATCCCCATAAAAGCGCCCCAGACCCTCACGTGCACCCAACCCCCCCAGACCCTCAAACACTCAAACCCACACCAACAGAGGCCACCGGGCACCGTGTGAGACTATATGTCTTTCCCTCCCGTCCCTCTACGCCGCAGACCAGGCGGGCCTTGGCGTTACTGACCCGGCCGGGCCGATATTAGTAGCTATGGTTTTATCCGCCGCCGTGCATATCCGGCGTGTTGGGGTTGACATGTGATCGCCGAGCTAGAAGGTGGGGTAGAGTGATACTTTGTGACGCATAATATGTTAAGCCCGAGGAGGGGAACGAAGGGTATGTAGGTCTGTAGATGAAGAGCTGCGTTCTATGATTTCCTCATGTAAACAAACTATGAACAATTGATGCCGGTCTACTACTCATTCACTACATATCTCCTCACGACAAGCTCGTCTGGTGCTCAGCTCACTACCTAGCACACACACACTACTAAAGGTATAAAACACTTATAATTATGTCATGAACTATCACTCGACTCCTCTTCTCCCCGCGACCCAAGTCCATTCATTCCATCAGTGATAGTTGATATCACGACCCCCACAATACCGCTTTCTACAAAAACGTCAACTGCGTCTAAATATATTCATCCTTCTTCCCTCGCCAGCCCGCCCCCAAGATATATCTTTAAAAGAGTAGAAAGAAAGAGTAGAAAAAAATAATCAATGCTTCAAAAAAAAAAAAGACAATAACAAGAAGGAACCATGAAAAAAAAACAAGAATGTAAAAAAGGCGCCTACTAAACTAAAAATTTCCCCACACACAGCCCACATCTTTGCTGCCAATCAGTGTGACTTTTTAAAAGAAAAATATAAAAAGGATTAAAAGAGAAAGAGAAAAAAAAGGCAAGGCGCGGGAAGTGAAAAGAGCCCTTTCATCCATCAGCGCTCCTCCCAGCAATTGCCGTCTTTCGCCCCCGCCCTTTCCCCTTGCTGCCAGTCTTCCGCTTCCCGGTCCCAGCGCTGGACGAGCTCCTATCTACAACCGTCGAGCTATCGCTCCGCCCCTCCGTCCCCACAGTGGTCGTCGATCCCGAATCCGACACATCCCCGCTCTTCCCACCGGGCACCAACCCCGGCGCCATATTTGGCCTCCTCTTCGCCACAAAGCTGCCTCCCCGTCGCTTCGTCGGCGTCCCCTCCGGCTCCGGTGTTCCGGCGCGCGAAGACACACTCGGGGATCTTCTCTCCGATGCCACAGATGCGCGTCGCACCCGCACAGCCGGAGAGCTTGTAGTGGCCGGTGTATCCTCCTTTTTGGCTGCTCCTAGGCGTAGACCCAGCGGGGGCCAGTGCCACCACCGCTTGACGGCCTTGCGCCGCTTGTAGCGCGATTTGTTCTCCTTGTCCCAGAACTCGGTGCGGTAGTTCTCCCACTCCTCGCGGAACGTCGCGCTGAAGCGCTTTGGCAGGATGACGAGCTTGATGTGGAGCCCGCCCGTGAGGTACTCTTCGATCTCGTCGGCGGGGTCGTCCTCCATTGCCTCCTCGGGGTGCGGGGAGAGCTGTGACGACGTGCGGCCCATCGCGCTGGATGCAATGGACGGGGCGTGGCGGTGTGCGTGCTCGGTGGCCTGCATGGCGGCAGCGGCCTTTCGCGGGGTATTTGAGCTTAGCCGGCGGGGCTTTGCGGTGTTTGCAGAGAGGCGTCGGGAGGCGGTGGAGGAGGGGGGGCGCCGCGGAGGGGGCGGCGTGGGGAAGGTGTACCAATTCCACCACCAGACGATCCATTGGGTTGTGGAGAAGGGCACCTTGACGAGCTTGACGTTGAAGCCACGGAGGCCGCGGTTTGCGGTGGAGACGAAGCGGCGCGGCTCAACAATCGTCTTTTCGTAGAGGCCTGTGGCATAGTAGAGGGCGGCGGTGACGCAGCCGCCGAGAAGACCGAGCCATTCGAGGTGGTAGATGTAGTAGTAGGGCGAGCCGCCGAGGTCGAAGATGCGGTGGAGGAAGTACGCGTTCCAGGCCAGGAGGAGGACGACGAAGAAGGTGAACTTGCGGCGACGAGCGAGGTGGTGGAGGTATTGGCTGCGCAGGGAGGCCTCGAGGATGAGGAGGTTGAGATATACCTGGTTGGGTGAGTTGGGGGCGTAGTCGAGGGGGTTCCCGGGAGGTGCTGGGGGGGGTTTAGGAACCACGGATGGGGGCGAGAGAGAGGAGCGTGTTGGGAGAGATCCTTTGACGGCGAGATCAATGCTTTCCGAGGTCTCAGAGCCGGGAGATGATAACGTCATGGTGTGGGGGAGAAGAGAAAGGAGATGGGGGGGAGGGGTGGAAGGAGAGAGGGGGGGGGGGGGGGGGGTCAGGCAGGCACACCAAGAGCGAGAGATTAAGATAGAGAGAGAGAGAGAGAGAGAGAGAGAGAGGTCCTGCACGCACTCTCACTCACACACTCACACGCTCTCACCCACAGTCTCACTCGCTCTCACACTCGCTCACTCGGGGGAGAGGAGGGGGGAGGGTGGGGGGTTATTGTCGAATGTAATGCTGCGTGGGTGACACCACGGGGGCCCGGAATCGGAAGTTGTGTTTGGGTGGAGAGACAGATAGGCAGAGGAAGCAGCAGTGTCTAGAGACGACGACGACGACGACGACGATGATGATGATGCTAGCAGTGCTGCACTTGCTTAGAAGATGGAATGCCTCGATGGCCACGATGGGCCATGCAAAGACAGCAGCAGCAGCAGCACGGGTGTAGGATGAACCGGCGTCACTCAACGGTGCAGCAGCACAGCACTAGAAACAAGCAGAGTGAGTGGGTTCTGGCACAGGCAAACGGGTGTTTGTGTGTAGCAGTAACAGCAGCAGTACTGGACGTAGATGTGGACGTATGTAATATGTGGATTATGAGGTTATGGAGACAAGTGAGTAGGTACATGTGGAAAGTAGATACATGTGAAAAGCCCCAACCACGGACCGAACATGATCGGAATCCGTGATAGATGCATGTGGATTACTGTGGTGGGTGCAGTGGGTGCAGCGGTGCAGTGGTGCTTGTGTGCTTGCGGGTGCTGCTGCTGCTGGTTGTGGTCGAATGAACGCATAAAGAGTGGTCGTCGCCCTCGCTCTCACTCTCTTCTTCTGTCGTCCTGCTCTCCCTCGGCCAGTCGCAGCAGCAGCCAACATTATCTTGAATATTACCTGTTCCACTATTGAATCTTGGTACGAATGGTACACAGGACGAGAGCCTGATGTTGGTGTAACATCAGCCGATGGGAGACCGGGGATATGTTGGTTGTCTGTGTGTATCGCATTCTGGTGGATGGCCATGATGGAAGATTGAAACATGAGGGCGGGAGATGAGAGGTGAGCACGAGAGCTAGGAGCTGAGAGGTGAGGGAGCGAGAGTTAGATTGAGAGCTCCAGACCCGGGACGCTTGGAATTAGCAGTAGATAGCTGCCTTCCACTGCTGCTGCTGCTGCTGCTGCTGCTGCTGCTGCTGCTGCTGCTGCTGCTGCTGCTGCTGCTGCTGCTGCTGCTGCTGCTGCTGCTGCTGTGCGCCATACTACTGGCCACTTACAGTCTCCTCTGGGTCAATGGCGAGCCTGGGCCAACGGCAATCACCAAACCAGCCGGATAAACGGTGCAGGATCATGCTGTCTCATTTGGATTTTATTCTCCACGATTCTGCTTGTTTGTTTTTGTGGGGATGGCATGGACGAAAGTATCCGGACGGATTACTACATGTAGGTTCGCTATTGACCTGGAAGGAACGGTAATCAACTAATTCTGCAATCTGATACTTAAATCCATCAATCCCACCGTACTTCTCGCCTTGCCCATTCACAAGTGCCTGTCTACTTCCTGCTGCTGCCTGTCATCCCTACAGACCGTTTCCCCATCCTTTCCTTACATATGCAAGCACAGCCCCCACCAACGAAAGCTGCCTGGCCACTAGCCACTCGGGCGTTATGTAAGGCCGCACCCCGACTCGCCCTGTGTAACGCGGGCCGGAGTTAAGCATTTTGCTGTGAGCGCCACAGGGATGCTGCTGTGCGACAACACCTCCACGGGATTCCGATACACCACCGAGACGATACGACTGCCTCTAGCTACGCCCAGCACCCCCAGCACCCCCAGCTTGCGTGTGAATTGTAAACACACACGCATCCATCCACAGCCTTCTCTCTCCAGCATCATATAGATCACTTTTGATTCCTCCCGAATACACACACACACACACCCATACCCTTCTAGAGCACTCCGGACTGTCATTCCTCCGCCTGCCGCGTGTGTTCCAGTCGTTCTTCTATTCCTCCGCTCCCCCACTCCTCCCTCCTTATATATATACCACGGCCACCACTCCCTCAAGTGGCCCTTAGAGCTCACCTCTTCTAGCAGTCAAGCTGCGTCCACCGCCCCACCTCTACTCTACAAACCTCTTTAGCCTCTCGTCGGCATTCTCTCTTGGATTCACAGCTCCGTTCGTCTTTACCCGCATCGACAGCCACTACTCTCTCTTCCGCCGTCACCAACACGGGTTTATAGCCCCGAACCCACCCAACGGTTTCATGCCCGAGGCACGAACCCAGCAGAGTCCCCTCGCCTCAGGACGAGGGGCAGAGACCCAAGGAACTGCCACTGCCGATGCCGGAAAGGCCGGTATCAGGTTTCCAAACAACCTCTTCCCCCTAGGATACAAGGAGGGGTTCAGCCAATGGGTAAGCTTTTACAACACAGCTCAATTTGAGCTTCCAGTAGCTAACAATGACCCCAGTGGACCGCTGTATCACCAGCAGCCGCCGAAGCCGCTGTCTTGGGCTTTTTGCCATTCAACAAAAAGCCTCTTCCAGCGCTCACGCCCAGTGACGGTAATGCCGCCGCCACCGCCTCGCCACCCACGGCAGACCCATACGGTCCCCGCGAATGCGCATCCAATATGGTGCCACTCTCGGGCAAGAACCGCATCATGAACGAGTTCAGCGTGACCCGCACCGGCGAGGGAGAGCCGAAGCACCATCTTGTCATGCTCCACGGCTACGGCGCTGGGCTCGGCTTCTTCTACCGCAATTATGACATGCTGTCGCGGCGCGCTGGATGGAAGATCTGGTCCCTGGATCTTCTGGGGTACGGACGCAGCTCGCGGCCCCCCTTCTGTATCAGCTCAAAGGACACTGAGGGCAAGATCACCGAAGCCGAGGATTGGTTTATCGATGCCCTGGAAGAATGGCGGAAGATCCGCAAAATTGAAAAATTCACCCTGCTGGGACATTCGTTCGGAGGGTACTTGTCTGTGCGATACGCACTCAAGTACAAGGACCGGGTCAACAAGCTGATCTTGGCCTCGCCCGTCGGTGTCCCCGAGGACCCCTATGCCGTCCGCGAAGACCTCCCAGACGCAGCGGCAAAATCAAACCTGCAAGACGAGTACATGCAGACGCAGGAGGAAGCCACCCGCTCAAACCCCAACATTCCCGACACCCTCAAGGTTCCCCACGACCCCGGAAACAACACGCACTCCCGCTCTACCACAGACCTCCCCTCCTCCTCCACCACCACCCCTGCCTCCAGCACCCCCGCCGCAAAGCCAAACGCAAAGCCCCGCAGGCCGCTCCCCAAATGGCTCGTCTACCTCTGGGAAGCCAACATCAGCCCCTTCAGCTTTGTCCGCTGGTCGGGCCCTCTCGGCCCCCGCCTCGTCTCCGGCTGGACCTCGCGCCGCTTCTCGCAGCTCCCCGCCGAAGAGAGCACCGCGCTCCACGACTACGCATACTCGCTCTTCCGCCAGCGCGGCAGCGGCGAATACGCGCTCGCATACGTGCTTGCCCCCGGCGCGCACGCGCGGCGCCCGCTCATCTGGGCGGCGCAGAAGCTGGTCGGCACGCCGAGCGTGTGGATGTATGGCGAGATGGACTGGATGGATATTGCCGGGGGCTTTGCGGCGGAGGAGAAGATTCGCAGTACGCCGATCCCGGAGGAGAAGGCGGCGGGGTATGTCGGGGGTGAGGAGTGGAGGGGCGAGAAGAAGGGGATGGGCGGGGAGGCGAAGGTGCAGATTGTGAAGAGTGCCGGACATCATTTGTATTTGGATGGGTGGGAGGAGTTTAATGAGCTGGTGGGCGAGGAGATGAGGGATGTGGAGGTGAGGGAGGGGACGAGATCTAGGGACTGACAAGACAAGACGAGACAAGACCAGGTCCGGAGAGGCAGCAGTAACGGCAGCAGCAACAGTAGCAGCAGCAACGGTAGATAGTGGGTTATATATGTAGTGCATGATGCATTTTTTCTTTCCTTTTCTTTTCTTTTTTGTTTGGGACTTGGGGTGTTTTTTGTGTGGTTTATTATATACCAAAGTAGAGTTGTTGTAATAAAAGGATGGTCTACTTTTGTAATCTTTTTTTTGGCTTCTTGACGTTGGTGATTCGAGTGAGTTCGTGTGGTTTTGAGAGTTCAGTTGTAAAAAGAGCACTCTACTCCGTTTTGGGTAGTACCAGTGCAGGGTACAGCGGGGCTTGGCAAAATGCGTCCGAGTGATAACGGGTGAATGGAAGCCCTACACCCTATGTGCAGTAATAGAAGACCCGCGACGACGATCTTTTGAGTAACAACTGCAGGGTAGCATTGTTTATAAGGAGAAATCTCTGATAGACTAGCGGAAGAGAGAAATAATTAAAGCCAGGGCGCTCACTCGTAATGAGTTTCTATAGCGATGTTTTTAATTGGGCACGTCTGTGGGACATGTGGGATCACTCGTGTATTTCTTCTGGGAGTGTAGGTTGTCATGGCAGGGTTAGGTGTCCCTAGCTAGCTCGCCCCGCCTTAACTATTACTTCCAGGCTGCTGAAAATTGTGTGGGCGAGTGTGGTCTAGGGTAGACGCCTCGTCAACGGAGGACACCGAGTGGGTTGAGTCCCCATGACCATCTGTATATAGGTCATAGGTTCAATCCCGAGGGGTGGGAGTCTATACCGGCGTTATGTGTAATAAATGGCACTAACTCCCCTGAAAAGCATATTCTTCGGCAAGACTTTTTGTGTTTAAATTTATTGACATTTTTTTCTGGAGCTTATTGCTCGTAGGCTAAGCCTGGTATCGATCAGATCTCTGGCCCGTAACCGCAGCCTGATTATCTTAGCTTCTCGCTCATTTGGCTAATTATTGGTCTCCCTCTCCCCCATGGTCAGGGCCGGATGTAGGATTAGGGTTTAGCAAAACCTTTTCAGACCATATTCTTTCATAGTCTAGTAGATTTATTGGCTATTTTCTAGAGCTTATTGGGTGGGCCCTCCTCGTGGGTTAGTATAGTTAGGTGTAGTATCGATTAGATCTTTGATTGGCCCCATAATCGCAGCTTAAACTACATGTAGCTTCTCGCTTATTATTTGGTCTTTCCCCATTAGCTCATCGTTAGACTCCATTCAATTGATGGTTAGGGCCGGATATGGGGCGAGGGTTTAGCGAGATTTTTCCGATTTATATTCTTTTATAAAATAGTAGGTTTGAGGGAGCAGGGCACGCACGGGGTTGAGGTGTTTCGTGTTGTGCCTGGTCTTGGGCGCTCGGGCCGTTATTTTGGAAAACGTTCTTGTTCCTGTATCGCCTAGCTAGACCTACATGTACATGCAGCTATGCGACCAGAAAAAGATCTACTACCCTCTCCCTCCTATGCCGTAATTGTTTATCCCTCTTTTCTTTTTACTTTCACTGCAATCCCTTTTTTTTTTTTTTTCAGTATATTTAGGTGGGGGAAAAGAGTCAGAAAGATCTCGAGACTTGTTTCGAGGCCTCTAGACCTTGTCTTGTCTCGTCCCACGTGTTAGCCCCTAGGTCTCGTCTTGTTTTACCAAAAGTCTCGTGCCCATCACTACTTCAGGCACCACTGCAGAAACACCGCATCTTCTACTCAAATGACGAGACTCAGAGTTAGTGGTATCCTAGATTACCCAGAGGCTTGAACGCGCCGTAGTGGGCGATCCGTAGGGTGATAGACCTACGAGTGATAGGTCATGAAGCAATTCTCCTAGTACGACGTATAGTTTTTTTTTTTTTTTTTTTTTTTTTTTTTTTTTAAAAAAAAAAGACAATAAATAATAGAAACTACCAGCAAGTCATTGATTCTTGGCTGATTGAGATGAAGCTATATCAGGCTGACTCGTTAAGCTCATGAGCTGTGCTAACCAAATAATTAGAGTATGTGTTGGCTTTGTAGCTAGGGGGCGCGGAGCACCCATGACTTTCCCAACGTAATATTTAGTGTGGTAGATGTGTATTGGGAAAGTCGTGTCTGAAAAGTCGTTTTCTCTACATGGTAATTTTGTGTTCAACGGAAAAGGGAACCATGAGTACCTACAGGTGTAGGTAAATGTGCCCAGCGAATAGAATACATTTACTAGGGCGCCTAAACTGGTTAGATGCCCTCCGACCAGCCTTGGCGTCCAAATATCATTTCTAGCAAAGAATAGTACTCATAGGCGAGCGGTCTAGTGGTTCTCTGCACGACTCGCCTGTTGGACACCGAGTGGTTTTGGTCTTCGGGGCTGTAGATAAATCATTTTGAGTCCTTTACCATTTCATTTGTATAGAAAAAGGGATAAATGAATTTCCTGGGCTATTAAAGCTACTTATTAGATCTGTAGAGCGTGCGAAAAAAACTCATTGGATATGGGTCACACTAGGCTGAGACTTAACAAAGCCAAAACCGCACAAACGGCAATAACATCCAACACAGGCCTAGGACCTGCCAATGTGATTGATCTAGAACTCGGTGGTGTGCATTATTTCTTGTCCCATAGGGCCAAGTATCTGATAACTTCTATGAGTTTGGGGTGATACTCCGCTGATGGGTCAGGTTTAATGCACAATAATAGCTTCAGGAGAAGCCATCACACGTTCTGCTTGGGAATATGATAATCGAGACACTCCAAATAATTCACATTCGTTGAAAATTGTTCTCGTCTTGCCCCTCACCGCTGAACGAATCAACCGATTGATCAATCAATCAATCAATGCCCGGCGGCTACTGAGAAAAGAGCCGCTCCACGATCCATGGTGACCACTGGACCATATAACAGATAATTAATCACATAAGATGAGCCCGGAGAAAGAAGTATTATGAGTATCATAGTTGGAAGGTTGTATGTACATAATCAATCAATCAACTAGCCAGGCTACCCGGGTCCACACAATTAATGAATTGTCAATCAATCAATCAGGCTACCCGGGTCACAAACGGTCACTCGCTGATTGTGGAACCAACTATCTTAGGCATATAAAAAAGCAAAAAAAAAGAAGAATGACTTTTTATTAAACAGCAAACCCGCAACTCCGGTCGTCAAAATACATGCTATCCATACCCAAATGCATTTCCCCCTCTTGAGTATCCCATCATGGTAAAAACATTAAACAATAAACAATACATATTCATCATTAACAGAACAACAAAGGAAAACCTCATGATAATCGGATCGTAGTAGTTTTCTCAAACGTCCTGGTCAGACTTTGCATACTCAGCACGTGCATCTTCTTCCTGCTGCTGCTGTCGTTTCCTTTCAAGAAGGAATTGGCAGAACTTGGAGTTATCTCTGATTTTTTGTCCTATGAATACCTGTTAGCGGGAGGACATAGTAGTGCTAAAAAAGGAAGGACATTACATACCATGCAGGATGAACAAATATGGAATGATCGACATCAACACAGCAGCAAAGCCGAGAAGACTTGATGCCCACGGTATTGTCAATTTACTATACACTACACGTACCAAGCATCAGCATACATTACTCCAGATTCATCGAATATCAGGGAAGACTTACTATTACCCGCGAACAGCGGAAAAGCTGCTCCTACCATACTTCTGCACATACTTGTTGCCGCCATCGCTGACGCCGCATAAATCTCATATGCATCCGTGAGATAGTTCAAGAACGCCGTAAAGATGATACAAAATCCGAAGCCGAACGGAACACCAGCAAGCATGGGTACAATCCAATGAATATCAGAACGAGCTGTCCAGGCCTGCCAGAAAAGGGATGAACAGTAAATGAGGCCCCCAAAACAGGCGATGGGGAGGCGGCGGTACTCGGGGCTGATGACGCGGGTAGGGTCAGCACGGGCAAGGCGGTTGATGTATTGATCCCAGCCCATGGCGACAGCGCAGGCTAAGCCGGCACCGACAACGAGAGGGAGAAAGGCAAGGCCGGCATCACCGGGGGCAAAGCCGTAAATGCCTAGTTGGAGTTAATATCATTGAAAAAGTTTAGAGTGTAACTTATTAAATAACTGACCTTGAAAGATGAGGGGGTAACTGGTAAAAAAGAGGTAGAAGGTTCCGTAAAGGAGGGCCAGAAATATGCTGGTTAGGAAGACAATACTTTCCTGCCAGAACATTCGGAATGGACGGGTTAAGGTTGTCCCGAAAATGCTCAGGAGGGAACGTTCATCAAGTTCGAGGGGTGCAATAGCATCCTTATTGCCCGCTTTTCTCATCTTCTGCGCTTTTCGTACAAGGAGGATTGGGCCATATGTCTCTGGGCAAAGGAATAGTAGTGGGATGAAGGAGACTCCGGCAACCATTACACCGAGCCAAAAAGCCATGCGCCAACCCGCAGGTGAGGCGGAGATATAACCAGTAATAAAAGGTGCAAAGGTTGGTCCGACCATCGTGAAGGCGCAGAATAATGCCATGGCTGAATGCAGTATCAGTATTATGAGGTTCATGGTGGATGTCTATTATGACTCACCTCTTCCTCTCTGTACTGGGTCGTTCCAGATATCTGCTAATTGACCCCCAACAACGCTCAATGGTGCACTAGCACCAATCCCTGAAAGAAATCTGAACGCGAGCAAAGCACCTAGATTCGGAGCCAGAGCACATCCTATGGACATGAGAGTGAACCACGAGAATGCGACGACAGAGACCCATTTTCGTCCATAGAACTCACTGACGGGTGCAAAGAATATTGGGCCGACGACATAACCGATCAGGTAGAGCGAGATGGTCAGAGACGATACAACGGAACTCGAGATACCAAAATCCTCTCGAATAAAAGTAATTGCACCGGATGGCAGTGATGAGGCGAATGTTGAATTTGATACAGTGAGAATTCCAATGAAGGATATAAATGTTTTTCGTCCCTAAGGTTGTAGTCATCAGCATTCATACTGTACTGTCGTCATGGAGCTGAGTGATGTAATCAATGGACTTCAGCAACGTACCATGGACCAGTTATACGGGTTTTCTGGATCACCAGGCGCAAAATACACCAAGTTCAAATTGGGCTTCTCATCAAACTTCTCATCCATCTTTTCAGCTTCATCTGGCATGGGCTCTGAATAATCGGTGTTCCCTGGACCTGACCAATGACTAGGTCTAATCGACAAGGACTGGGTGAGCTGTAGTTCGGCCATTGAAGAAAAAAAAAAGATATTATTTCACTTCACGATTAAATCAAGAAGCACCGTCGTACTAATGAAAAAGAAAGCACAAGAAGAAAGTGCTTCTGTTGAAGCCAAAGCAATTGCGTCAACACAGGACCCAAGAATGAAGCTGTTGTTGTTGAGGAAAGGAAAAAAAAACAAGTGGACTTGTCTGTTGATAAATATTGCCTCCATGGCCACCTTGGGACACTAACAAGTTACTCACTTTCTCAGTCAAAAGTTCAGCATTCGGTTATTCGGCACGGGCCGGTTGGGTTTATTTTGCTTTATTCAAGGATTAGCTACAATGGGCCGCCGTCATACATGAAAGTTCCCACTTGTTGGGTGCGTATACCACTGTAAGTAGCTGTGGAATATTTGGCCAAGTTGAGTAGGTCCATAGCTATGGGACCTTGAGTATTTGCCCTATGCAGTTAATTGACATTTCACACTACGATAATAGTGGATCCATGAGTTCTGAAAAACAGGAATCCCCCTAGAGAACAGAGAAGCTCTTATTTTTTCTTTCTTCTTCTCTTGATGTTAACTCCGCACCCATTTGTAATTGGTAAGTTACTGGGAGGGTGGGGGGTCGTCCCTTTCTTCTGGAAAATATCTGTGTTCCACAAGGAATAGTTAGAAGTCTAGCTAGAGCCGCAAATGCCGCTATCAAGTGCCGGTACATACCCTATCCCTCTCGAAAAAATCCTTAAAGCTGACCGTATCATCTAAACAGTGAGGTACAGTCGCGTATGTTCCAATAGAATAGCCGTAAAGTAGCTCCGAATTAAAATATATTGGGCCTCTTCTTTTGTTCTTTAGACTCGGGTGTTACCGAGGGCCAGTAACCAAACATCACAGCCAAGAAACGCCTGCATATCAGGCTGATGGCGCCAATAAGATTCGACTTTCGGGAATCCGTCCAGCTGCCCCGAGCTTGTGATTGCAGATAGTTACCTAGTATGAAACGAGGTATGTAGAGTACAGCTCTGTATGGCGTATGTATGTGATGGCTGGGTTCTGCTCAACAAGTTAGCCAGAATGTCTATGTAAATACTCCACCGCCCACAGTGATATTATTATACCTACTACATGTAACCATATACCTCGCCTGAGCGTATCGGCAGTGTGATGGGGCTCAGGATAATGGAGAATTATACCAATGCACTGCGTCAAAAGATAACCACCGGCAATCCTCACCGGCGCGGAGTAGTCAGGAGAAAGAGCCCCCCGCCCCCAAACGCCGTTCATCGAGAAATGTTGTTTGAGGAAAACCCCTTTTGGAAACTAGAGGATAGATGGCAACCGATCCTCAAGAAAATATAAAGCAGAGCAGTTGTGCTGATTTATCTAATTGATCAATACATCTTTACTTACCTCGCAATTATGCGATTTTATTTTGCTTTGGTTAATCCCATTTGAAAACGCGATCGAGCCTGGCCCTTGCTGGGTCTGTCACCCACAACGGAATATCTCCAGCAGGTGAGAGGAGGTGACCGAAGTCAAGAACCGAGTCGACGATCTTAAGGAGCGCATACTCTACGTGCCCAGGTGCATGTACCTTCTCTGCATGCGCCGGGGAACAGAGCCTCGGGACGCCGCATCAGATACTCTAGCTCAGTAGAGGCTTGTATGCTGCTTTACCGGTAGAGTACATGATACCCAAGTTACACTTTATCGCAGAATCTGATGTTGCATCGAACTCCGTAAATCCCCCAAGACAAGCATGAGCTGGTTGTGGAAGTCATATGCTGTGATCCCATTCTTGCATATTCGTAGCGAAGAGATCATGTTACAGATTCCCAGCAGCCAGTTTCTCTGTACTCGGTGCGGAGGCCGGGGAACAATCCACTTCTTGGAGGTGTAGGAGGACAGTGAGAGAAAGAGAGACGATGTTCAACTCTGATATTATTAGTGATGGATGGAGGATCTGCTCTGGTATGTACTACATGCACCCCAGCGCGGCTGAGGATACTGTATGCAAGTATCCTAGAACTGCCAGGCAATACTTATTTTCACATAACGAGGGCAAGAGACGAGAACTGCGTTTGTTTCAGTTTGCGGATACCCACAGATAGAGATACCCAAAGCTGTCAGATGCTGAACTTGATACCAATGCACCCTCCTTTCAACGACGTTCGCGTCCATCCCGATTGCGGACCCGAGTGCTGGTCGGTGTCTGGTGTTCCCGACTAAACCGCAACCACGGGCGAGCCAATCGGCAACTCCTACGGAACCCATCAACCTTGTATTAATTTTTAAAGCTGTCTCAAGCTTGGACCTTCATCTTGGTCTTGGCACCAATCCAAACTACGGCACATCTGGAACAAGCAAAGAAAAGGCACACACAGAGAGCAAGAAAAAATCTTTCACTTCTGGGAAATAGAGAGTTTAAGCCACCCGACTTTTTGGCAAACAAAAAAGATCGTCGGACAAAAAAGATCAGCGGTCTAGGGTCAAAAGAGCAAAACTAACGCAGGATTGGGAATCTTTTACGCCCCCCTCCATGTTTTTTTTCGAATTCCTTTCTGCTAGCTGGGATCGGTGGTTTTGGGGGCAGAAGACCTTTATTCCATCACGGCAACTTTGCTATCGAACCTCCATGTAAAAGGTTTACCCTACACAAACAGAATGTTCTAAAGATCACCAGCAAGGGTACCTGGCAACTCCCAGCCACGCCATCGGTCCAGGACCTCCTTTCCATCAGCTTCCCTACATGCTCTAGCTACTTTACTCTGGAGTCAAGCTAGGTGGAGCAGGTAACCAGGTCTTGGGCCTCAAAATACCATAGTATGAGCTGGCTGTCCAAAAGACAAACGAGGATGTTATCGTGGCGATAAAGGGGGGCAAATGTAAGTATGGTTTTTCGTATGCATATCCGTTGTCGGATACAAGATACGCACAAGGAAATAGGCTTCAACGAGCTTCTTTTGGTCCTTCAAAAGCTTAAGGGGCCGGTTGGCCGCTGGCTGGCGAGAGCGAGAGATCGATCGACAACCAGCCTGACGAGTTGCGAGGCTGGTACCTAATCTAATCAATACAATATCAAAATCAAAACCCGTTTTACTTTCTGTAGCTCCCCTCCCCCACAACCTAGTGGGGGATCTAGAGTACCGCTCCTTTCACACATACATACCCGTGCTCTCTTGCGAAGAAGTCCAGAATCCCATCACAATTGCATGCGCGACTGAGTGCGGGATGGAGAAAGGGAGGCCGTTTGTTCGATCGAGTAAGGCGTGCGAACCTGTCTCTGAATGCATACTAGCGGGGGATCAATGCTCATCTCACTGAGTTCCCTATAAAAGGCCTCAGGGGATTGCTTTGCGGAGGAAGAGTAAACATTCTTAAGCGGAGCTTAATCTTCATCGCATTTAATTTACTTACGCTATTACGAATCCCTTACGAGTCTTTTTGATACAATTTCCCTCCAATTCGTGATACTCGCAATTATGTCGTCGGAACCAACTCAAGGAACAGCCACAGGAATAATTGTCGGCGCAACTATCGGTGTCACGATCTTCATGATATTGATGTTTACAGTGTGGCACTACTATTCGCGGAAGATGCATCGCCCAAAGGGATTGCCGCCTCTCGGGAGTGAGGATATGAGCTCGAATGAGAGCGCGAGTGTGGTGTAATGCCGCGCCAGTAACGGTGAAGGGGGAGAGGGGAGGAAGGTGGAAACGATTATGAGAGATGTCTTTTGTGATGATGGTGATGTGTGATGTTTAAATCTGAAAGATTTATGAATTGTAAGAATATTGGACGAGGAGGAGAGCAAAAAAAAAAAAAACAGAAAGAGTCGTGTGATAAGCCAAGGAGGGACGATTTGTTAGAGCGCTTGTTTTCAAGCCGATTGATCATTGAAGGTATGTACGCTGTCTATTTGTAATCAACACCTCAACTTAACCTAGATCAACCAAGTAACCTCTACTGTAGTCAAAACAAGAAGCTAATTGGCAAGACGGGCAATTTATTGCCCGAATTTCTTCACGGATGTAACGAAGCAGACTATCTCCGGTAGGTTACAAATTGTACCCTTGTTGAAAATTGCTCTTGGTAACTGAGACTAACTGTAAATAACAGGGCACGCGGGGGATGGCGTCATTGTGGAGCGGACAACATCGTGAGAATACCAATTGGGTTTGGAGATAGAAGCGAAAAGAAGTGGATCGAGGGGGACGAATGGGCAGCTTTATAAATCCGTCATATACATAGCTACATAGGTGGCATTTTCTATTTAGAACAAACGTCCCCTTAATCAGTTCAACAACACTGTACCTACCACATACCTATATACACCTCATATCAATACTATAATCCATCAATCAACCAGCTCAACCTCATATCTTTCAAAATGTCGAACACAATGAAGGAAGTTACCGTCTTTGGTGAGCCTTTCCACGCTGAGATTAAGGAGGTCCCCATCCCGTAAGTCGATTCAGTACCAATCCTATAAATTGTCAAAGTTTGGGTAAGTAGACTCACAAACCACCAGTTCTCCCTCCGCCGATGAAGTCCTCGTCAAGGTCATCTACACCGACAGTAACCCTAAAGACTGGAAATATCCTATCATGACCAGCACCCCCATGAACCCCGGCGATGACATTGCCGGATACATCCATAAAGTAGGCTCCAATGTGACCGAATTCAAGCCCGGAGACCGCGTTGCAGCCTTCCACGTCATGCTCTCTCCCCATGGCTCATATGCCGAATATGCCATTGCCCCTGCAGCCACCACTTTCCACATCTCATCAAAAACCTCGTTTGAGGAGGCCGCTACAATTCCTCTCGCAGCCATGACCGCCGCATTGGCGCTCTACCAGCAGTTCAGACTGCCACTCCCATGGCTCCCAGCTCCAGAGGGCCAGAGAAACCCACTCATCATTTATGGAGGCTCCTCAGCTGTTGGCGCATTTGCCTTGAAGCTTGCAAAGCTCTCAAATATCCACCCTGTTATTGCCGTCGCTGGGTCTGGAATCGACTATGTCAAGTCCCTCGGAGCGGCCGACCACATCGTTGACTACCGCAAGGGCAACGTCGTTGCAGACCTGAAGGCCGCGCTTGGGGACGAGAAGTGCTACCTCGCCTTTGACGCTGTCTCAGAGAAAGGGTCATTTGTCAACCTTTCAGAGGTTCTCCAGAACCCTGGTGGCAAGATTGCGTTGGTGCTCCCGCGCAAAGAGGACTACCAGGAGATCCCGAAAGGAATTGAGCAGATGAGGACCTGGGTTGGATCAGTACACAAGGGCAAATTCCCTGGTGATGTTGGTGAGGGAATGGGGGATCTGGACTTTGGCTGGATGTTTTACAGATACCTGGGACGTATGCTGGCCACTGGAAAGTTTTCCGGACATCCGGCGACGGTGGTTAAGGGTGGGCTGGAGGGCATTGAGAAGGGCCTTATTGATCTCAAGGACGGAAAGGCCAGCGCAACAAAATACGTGTACCAGGTTGCAGATGATAAGTATTAGAATGACTTATGGTGATGATTTCGCGGGCGGGAGGTTGTAAGATTATAAACTTGCTTGTACAAAATAATTGAGTAAATACATCTTGTAGATGATTACATGCATTTACTCTCTCCGAAGGGAATTTGTGGTCTTGGTACAAAGTACCTACATGCACTTATATGTACGTTGTAGGGTGTTGAGCTCTTTATGTTCATGTGTATACAAGGAATCCAATGTATTTCACCAGATGGCAATTATGCTCAAGCTAAATAGAGGGCGAAGGTCATGAGAACATCTGAATAAGTAGTTGGCTGCGCTGCATAGGCACTCAAGTGGGATAGATAGGGGGAAGGGGTGGGACAAACAATCTATGTAAACAATAAAACACATGGTCCATTACAATCAATAACAGTATAAGAAAAAAGAAAAAAGAGAGAGAGATTCCCAATAATAAATGATATCCAATATCCGCCAGCTACAGTACTAATTGCTATTCATGGTATAGAGATAAAACAATAGTCAGAGCTGATGTTACAATGAGACACAATGGAATACAGAAAAGAAAGGATAAATAAACACGCTACTCCAAATCCATGCATAAAGACAGCGAGAAAGAACATGAATTAGTTACCGCCCAGAAACAATACTATCCCACCGTTTTTTCTTTCTATTATGTCCAATCGTGAACCACTAACTCATCACTGCTCTCTTGGTCATAATAAAACCCTATAAGTTTCCACCCAGAATAGCTTCCGTAGCTGCGCACAATAGGTTAGTAAATATGTCAACAAAGCGGCCTTAAGTGGACTTACCAGAATTAATATACGCCCTTCGTGCATCCAAGCTCATTCCAAACTTCCTCTCCAGTTCCGCCTTGATGCTCTTCTTTGTAACAGTCATTAAGTCTGCGGTCCTAAGGATTTCCCGGATTTCCGCAAGAATGGCATCGTCACTTGGAAGGTCAATATTTGACATTTCCATTTCGCCATGACCGAGGTAGGTAGATCCCCGCTGGGACATCATTTCTGAGGGTGCTATGCTCATGCGGCTTTGATTGCGGATAGGAAGCTCTAGCTGTGACATCGGCCTACTTTGGTAGCCCCACTCGGATTGTGTTGGGGCATATGATTTGGTAGCGTATGAATAGCCAGAAGCCTCTGAGCGAGTATCATCATGACCACGGAGCGTCTGTGCTTCCCAGAGACCTGCTTGATAATCTTCCCACTTCTTGCGAGGAATGCTGGCCGGATCAAATTTGCCTTCATCTGAAATGACAATCTTTTGACCTTTTTCACCAGTGACAATACGGGTATTACCCCATGAGAAATCGTCCATGTGCCAGAAGGAGTAGAGTGGGAGCGCAAAACTGAAGACCGGGATAGCAATGACGTAAAGGACCATCCATCCGATCTATATGCTAGTAAGTACCAAATTGTAAAAGGAACAAAGTAATAGACTGCGCTTACCATTTCCCACTTCCTCCTGAGGGTGAAAATAATTGCTTGTAAACCATAGACCGCCGCGAGTAGGATGAAGGCCATCATCGGTACAACGGATGAACTGGTAGCAACCATGACAATGAGGTAGACAATGTAAGCCACAGTGACTGGCTGGATGATGGTACTCAGCAAATCAAGGAAGACAACAAATCTCATCGAAAAACAACAGAAACCACATAGTTGCTGCATAGGCATCAATTCCATGAGATTGTGTAAGGTTGAATTGATCCATCTACGACGCTGAGACATGAAAATGCTCCACTCATCAGGCGCAATAGTCCAAGCATGTGCGTTGAAAATGTACTTGGTCTTGTAATTGTTATGGTGCTTCAGGAGAAGGGTTGTCAAGTAACGATCCTCACCAAGATGCAGAAGATTCTTCATGTGTAATGTATCAACACGGATTTCTGAGTAGGCTTCAACGACCTCCTTGCTGACGAATAACGGTTTTCCACTCTCGGCGGCACGGACACGATACATTGAGAAACAACCGGGCAGACAGGTAACAGACCCAAACAAACTCTCAAATGCCTTTGCGAGATTGTGAGAAATGTAGTACTCGTATACCTGAATCATGGTGATAAACGAGTGTTTGGCGTTGGTAAGTCCGGTTTCTCCACAAAGGGCAATAATTCTCGTGTCAGCAAGGAAGGCAGCGACCATGCGAGTAGCTGAGTCGTTGGCAACAACAGTATCGGCATCAATCTGGAATAGAAACTCATAAAATGTCGGGTTAACTCCAATGATGTTCCGGATCTGATGGTGCATTTCTAACTCCATAGGACTCATGGGCAAGTTGTAGTGAACGCGGTTCAGGAATCTCATGAGGATCATTTGAGAATCACGCTTTCCACGGTTACCAGGCTTGGAAACTTCTGATGGCTTTCCAACCTTGACGACAACAAGGAAGGGAACGATATGACCTTGAACCTCGAACAGTCCTGAATAGACTTTGCCCATGTTGTGCTGTTTCATACCCTCTCCGAGAGACTCAAAGCTCAATGGTTCCGGATCGACATTTTCTGCGACACCAAGGATGTCCAAAACGATACGGGGAGTAGGCCGATCGTTTCCTTGACCGATAATCATGCCGTCACAAATGACAACCAAAAGCTTGCGCTTATCGTCGTACTTCATCCTTGCAAGAGATTCGATTGCACGGCGGAGAGACTCTTCATCTTCGGTATAGGCTGGTACCTGGCACATGACAAACTTATCAAGGTTCTCCGGCATAGTTTTACGACCGAACTGAAGGGCAGCAAAGAACTTGAACAGAATGACACTAACCATCATACCTGAGATGGCAAGCAAGAGGTACGTAGCAAATTGACACTGAGGGGAGTTACGGGTATCGACGTTTCCAACATAGAAGAGGTTATCAAGGCAGACCTTCTGGCGTTTCTTGAGGTCGGCTGACATTGGGAGTGCATTCCAATACTTGGTGATATCTTCACCAGCACGACCTGCGAAGAGATCTCTGACTGAATCATCCATAAAATCGGTGCTGATGGAGGGAATATCAATCTCAGCTCCATCTTCTGGCCTTTCGATTCTTCGTCCACCCTTATTATAGTCTGTCATGTCATAAACACGGTCCCCGATGATCGCGATGTTGTTGCTTTTGTCTGCAAGCGTTCTAACATATTGAGAAGAATATCCGATATTTCCTTTCTTGTAGTTGGCCTTAAGAACCATCATTTGTTCAAAAAACCAATCAGGACGAGAGTCGTTCCGGAAAGCCCTGAAATCGTGGTATTTGGCGTTCTTATCAATCGTTCTATCGGATGTAGCGTTCGTTCCCTGGAAATCGAGAGTAACATATGGGCTAACGGATCCAGTGACACCATTGCACAGAGCTGAGACCTGGACAGGAAACAGAGAAGTTGCGTCCTTCCCACCATATGCCAGAAGATTCTTTTGAGTGACAAGAGTAGGGAAATGAGCCGGAACAAATGAGGTGAGATCAAAAACAACACCGCGGATTGCGATGTAAGCGGTGTCTTCCATGTGGTTTTTCCCGCCACTGTGCGATTGTAGTTCCTGAAGAGTGAAGACGTTTTGCTTGGGACAAATGAGTTGAGGAAAGAAGACTGCGAGTGGTTAATAATCATTACCAAACAATGGGACTATTCGAGATGCCAACTTACTCAGGAAAAAGACCGACAACAAGCACATGAACCAGATCATGAAATTGATAGCAAGCTTTTCTCGCCACGCTATTTGAATATCCTTTCGCTTCATACCTCCAACCCACCGGAGTATGAAGTCTGGAATGAACCATGTAATGGCCCACACCATGAACATCCATCTCTTACGACCTGGTGTTACCGGCAGCTCTTCGATTTCTTGCTCTCTGGCAGCAGCACCCTTCTCTGCCATCTGTTCTCGAGTATCGAAATTCTTAAACATATCGCCTGAGTGGAAGGCAGACGCTGCGGCTTCGGATCTCAAATCATCCGATTTGGCAAAATAACCCTTTCCAGTCTCTCCAGTACCGTAAATGTGAGTGCCCAGTCCTCCGGGACTAGGAGTTCCATGTCCAGGAATTAACCTCACCCTGGAGTCCGAACCTCCAAACAAACCGCCGCCTCGGGCAGTCTCACCTACAGGCGTCATAGGTGTACTCCCTGGCTCCTCGCCATCACCCAAAAACCCTCCAGAAGCGTATCTCTTAGCTCCAGCATGTTCACCTATTTGTGCAACTTCTGCCCAACAGTTCTCACTCAAAAAGATACCTGTAGCACCTACTCTAGCTTCGTTCATAGACCAATTCCTCTCCTCGACCACAAGCTCTGCCTTTTCCTTTTCACTACCAACAATATTGCTCTCTGGTTCCGCGAGGCCCAAGAACTCACCGAATGGCAAGAAGACCGAAAAGTCGGCATTTCGTATCCTTTGCGAGATCTCGGCAATTCCAAATGTTCGGATTTGTGTTCGCACGCACTTAGAATCGAATTGGTTGGCGATTCTTCTGTCGTTGGGTTTGAGACAAAATACGAAATAAGGATTTGTGTTCGTTCCAGTGAGAGACCTTGTAACAGTATCCAAGGCACTAACGAATTGAGCGGCTGCACCTTGATCTGATGAAGGGGCTGATACGTCTGAATCTAGGTTTGGAGTCTTAGACTCCCCCACACCTTTGATATTTGGTCTCTCGCCTTTCTTACGCATTACGCTGGGCATTCGCAAGGGCCGTGATGAAATTTGTCCCTGCATGATTGCAGTCTTTTCACGAGGATGCTGAACTGTAGTGACAGCTTTGCTGCTGAACAAATCGGTTATAAAGTCACTCGTTGTGCCACGGAACAGGTTCATGAGATCTCCAGAGATGACTTCTCCGTTCTCTTCAATGAGGCTGGCGACTGGGTATTCGACCTCTCCCGCAAAGTGCTTGATGGAGAAGCTGTTTGCAGCGGAAGAACTGCCAATGGTAATAGCAGCATTATTCTTTGAATCAAATCTCTTCTTTAAACTCTCAAGAAGCTGTGTGTCGGTCTTTCCACGTCGTGTTTGGTCGTCAAG